TGTCTCACTGCATTGCGCGAGTATTCTTCTAGTATATATATATATATATATATATATATATATATATATATATATAAATTTGGTTAATGTTGAATTGATGGTTTCTTGCTTCAAATTGCTAACCACTCCAAATGACTCGGGTTTGAAATTTTCAAACCGACCAATCTATTACAAAATTTTCAAACTGATTAAAGAAGCCAACTTCTTTAGTTTAAATTTCGTATATCTTTAAATGATGTTAGAGTGTATTTGGCAGTGACCGACCTAGTATAGTGATTATAGCGATACGTGCCACCTTATTATTCCTCCGTTCAAGGGTAAAAAAAATTTAGATTAATGAAAGATGTAACCGCATTAATTTATTGTGTGCCACCGCATGTATTTTGAAACTACAACGAGAACAAGTTTTATTTGATAGAATTGATTTGCAAGATTATTATTTCATCCCAAACCCAAGTTCAAATTCTATTAAAGTTATTTTCTTAGTTAAATTGTACCCATTTGAAGAAACAAATATAAGAATTTTTTTCCAAACGGTACCTTTTGAAATTGACCGGAAAAGGGCCCAAATGCATTGAATAAATTAGTACAAAAAGATATTTTAAATATTTAATTAGATATTTTATAAAAGTACATTTTGAAAGAAAACAAAAAGAAAAAATTGACCAGAGAAGGGCCCAAATGCATTGAATAAATTAGTGGGCCTAAAGGCCCATATCACCAACATGTAAAGCTGTGTGTACCTTCAAGCGGCCCACATGTCATGTTGCACACGTCACATCCCTTAGCCTGGCTCACCCCGGTCGCACTCCATTAGATTATCTCCAAACAGATTTTTTTAAGGGTAGTTGATATACTTGATACATATAACTGATCACTAAATAGGGTTTTCATTTATTAATTATTTATTTTATTTTATTGATTTAAATTTATTTTTGGTCAATTTTATCTAGAAGACTTATACATATGCGTAAATATTCGTTACACATATGTACAGGACCGGCCCTAAGGGTGTTCAGAGTGATGTTGTCGCACGGGATTTTTGATTTTTGTTAAATTTATTATCTAAGCGACTTAAAAGGAAAATTAATTAAAATAACCATTTTTATCGGTTGGTTTCATTTCTTAGAGGTTGCTTGTTTACCTCTTAACAGTTTCATTAAGAGGTGAATCTTGTTTGGCAAAAAAAAAGTCTGTCTTTTAATGGTTCTAAAACCCTCTGAATGGTTTTGTATCATGGGTATTCCTTAACCATTAAGCGCCCTAATTGCATTGTAAATAATTACCAAATAATTATATTTCATTTTTCACTATATATCTTGAGAGCCACTTAATCATTATGACCACCAAATCATTCCGCAACTGCCAAACAACCTCTTAGCCACTTCTTTACAATGTTTTAACTTTTTTTTATAATTATGATGAAAACTGTTAGAATTCAGTAGGTGTTAAGCATAACCATTTCCATTTATCGTCATGTGCATCAGGTCCCGTGAAGAATTGAATGCTAGTTAAATGCACAAGAAATTTTTTAGTTATTTGGAAATGTCTTTCGTATTTTCGAATAATGACTGTATTTGGTTTCAGTAACACCTGATCTTGGCTTAGATTTTTTTTAAGGTGTGGTTTGTCATTTTGTTGATACTAAATCTTGAATTGTTATTTTGAGGGATCAAGTATTAATATATAGAAAAAAAATTATCCTTAAATTGATGTTTTATTGAAAGTTTTAAATTAGTCGCTCTTGCAGAATTTAGGATGTTATATTATGTGTAATAAATAAAGCACGAGGACCAAATCCATAAAAATCCACATACGACAAAAATATATAATTTACTCTACATTAAATAAAGAGTGAATTAGGCAGAAGGTACTTGTGCTTTGTTCAAAATTTGGATATGATTACTTAAAACATCTTAGGGGTCGTTTGGCAGTTGCTGAATGATTTGTTGTAGAATGATTAAGTGGTCAGAATGATTACGAGGCTCTCATGATATAGTGCAAAAAGAAATATAATTGTTTGGTAATGGTTAAGGGAGACTCATGATACAAAATCATTCAGAAGGTTTTAGAATCATTAAAAGACAATCTTTTTTTTTTTTGCCAAACAAGATTCATCTTTTAATGATTCAGAAGCTGTCTCTTTATAAAACTATTAAGAGGTAAACCAATAACCTCTTAATTATTTTGTAGAATTCAGAAAAAAATGATGTCAAATTCAATCCAATTCAATGTGATTAATATGTTTGAAAACATTTACTCCTTTTGAAACCTATATGTTGTGTGGCCCTCAATCTTGACAACTGTGCCACCAAATCCTTCACTACCATAGGAAAAAGACAAATATCTCAATGATAACAACCTTTGAATTTACAACCATTTGATTGTAATGCAATTAAAAACGGGGAGTGCTAATGATATTTTCTTTCATGTCAGAATCAGGTCATTTTAAACATTGAGAATGTAAAAAGTATACATTGATGTTGATGTATGTGAGGAAGAAATTCATAGTAGGGATACATTAAGCAATGCATAGGGGTGCATTTAGCCCAACCCTTAAAAACATCATTTTTTTAATATATAATTTTGTGCAAAAAATAAATAAAAAAGGAAAAATTGATTGATGTTCCATATGTTAATCAATCAGTCAAAAACTCCAAAGACAGTTACAAGATCATCAATGGCAGACAATAAAAAGATGTAGAGATTTCTATCAGCTTCAACAATGCGTACAATTCAGATTACACAGAGATTCTCTTCAAAGTTCAAAATGCATTCTAAAAGCAGAGGAACAAACCTATTTATACAAGGAAAATTACAGAAACAATATAAAGCTTGAATACAACATTAAAACATAAAACATTGAACCAAAACGAAGTTTTTTTTTTGACTTTTGTTTGTTTTGGTTTGTTGTTAAATTTATTATGTTTATTGTCTCTAATTATGTCAATTAGGCATGAAGCTTATGGTTAATCTATATTAGTTGCTCCTGTTCTAGCCTCTACAAGCGATGATAAAAGAAAAAAACTACTGTCGAAGTGGGACTCAGTTTGACTGAGATGGGGACGTGAAATTCCTGAATTTGGAAACCGAAGCAGGGACGCACCCAAATTTTGTTGAAAGAGAACCTAACCTGAAGAGTCATTGGTTATCCAGGTCGGCTCAAAGGATCGTGCAGTGGGTGTGTCGGGTTCGAAAGTTTTCAAACGGCTGCGCCATTTGACTTGAAGAAAAATTATAGGGAAAAAATTTCAAACGGTGACACCGTTTGACTATAAGAAACAAATATACGGATTTTTTTTTCAAACGGTGACACCATTTGACTAAGAAAATGACACTAGTAGAATTCGAAGTTGGGTTTGGTATGGAATAAAAGTCTTGCAAACCAACTTTACTAAATAAAACTTGTTCTCATTGTAGTTTCAAAATACATACGGTGACACACAATAAATTAATACTATTGTACATTTCATAAACCTAATTTTTTTTACCATTCGACGGAGGAACAATACGATGACACGTACCACCATATGCACCACTTTAGGTCTGTCCATCCTATTTATACATAAAGACAATGACATTTTGGTAAATAAAAAATAGTTAAAAAGCCAGAAAATGATATAAAATCAGGTATGTCGACCAACCATAGGTTGCCACGTGACAGTTAAAATTCGTAAAAAAAACTCCGTTTTGGTCCCCGTCCATTAGGCCCGGTTCATAATGGATTGGTCCAAACAAGTCTTGTATCGGGCCTAATTAAGTATTTTAATTGGTTAGAGTTAAATGCATGAAATAATAATATATTTTCATTTTTTATTATTATAGTATTTTATTTTTGTTTTTCTTTATTACAACAATGTACTTTCAGATTATTTTTATTAAGGCATCACACTTTAAAAAATCTACCCATTATAGCATGGGTAACCTGTTACCTTTTAAACCAGTTAACCCCTTGACTTTGTTTGTTTCTGTGATTTTAATGAGGTGATATGGATGACACATCATTTTGATGACTTAATTAAAATAAAAACCTATTTCAAATTATTATTATTATTATTAATGATTTTCATTTTTCATTACTATGATTTTAAAAAACATTTAATTTTTTGACTTTTTTTTCTTATTAAGTTGCATGCAAATTAAATATTATAGAGTAAAATATTTCTTAAATAAATATGCTACATTATTTTTGAGATACATTTTGTTTGTAAAAAAAGCAACACATTATTTTATGTTGTCCAAAAGAATACATATCCTTTAAAGTTCTCTCTAAAAAATTTAACGAAATAAATTGTGTTCTACAATTTTTTAATATTGTTATATTAATACATAATTCAAAAAAATCTAATTAACTTAATATATTTATACGTCAAATAAACGTTTTTGAACAAATATAATATATTTTTTAAAAGATAATATTTTTTTGGTAAAAAAGGAAAATTTCTTATTTTCTTTTTTCAGAAAACATCTATTTTAAAAAAAATATTAGCGAGATAAGTTGTCTTATAGTAGTTTTATTAATATTGGTATATTAATGAATAATTTAGATTTTTTTAATACATTTATTATATTTATTAAATAACATGTAAAATATACAAATATTAAAATTAAAATTACATTGTTTAATAAGAACTAATAGATGCTATAATAAAATAATTTTGAAAGTACAATGTTGTAATAAGAAAGTCACATCACTATAGTTCATGTGTACAACCTACTTGAACAATGAGGTGGTATGAAAACATGGTATAATGGGTAAATTTAAATCAAAAAGTTGTCTAATGCTATAGTAGGTAAATTTTTCAAAGTACACTGTTCTAATAAAAAATAGTTTGAAAGTATATTGCTGTAATAAGAAAAACTGAAAGTACAATGCTATAATAAAGAAATTTATGAAAGTAAGATTGCTATTTTGAGCATTTTGCCCTCTTGGTTAAGGATTCCAGTTCCTTGTTAAAAACAAAGATGAAGATGCAATCATATCCTTCAACGTAAATGACGATTACGGTTCTTGGTATTCCAATCCCCAAGCATTTTGATGGACGTTAAAATTGACATCCAAGTAAAAATTCGTCCAAATTTTAAATATTTCACGATCCGTTCATTCCAAAACCATCAAAATACGAACGCTTGAAACACATTCGGTCGGTCAAATACTTGATCGGAAATTTGATTAATGTTCAATGTATACAATCTGAAACTCGAATACCAATCACAAACGTTTCATTTCGTTATTAAATTCGAAATCTATCGATAATAATCAGATTTTTTATTACCATTTACATAAAGATTCTTCAAAACTTCTCAACAACATCGAATCTTAACAATCATTCACAAAAAATGAACTACAAAAAGTGGTTTGACTCAAACCCTAATTCAACTGTGATTTACATCTCTCATTTTTACATACCAACCAAACCACAACAATTATCACAAATTTCTATCTCCATTTTCATCCCATCATGCATCCAAATTTTCTTTATGTAGATACATACATAATTACATGCGATTCTACACTAACGATCGATCGATCATCATCGTCTACAACCCCGATAAATACGCTCCAAAGCGAATTATAGGTCGTGTAGGAATCAGAAGAAGCCATGAACGAAGAACCGGGCTTCTTCTAACAAAAAGATTTTACCATTTGAATACGAATTCGAGAAACAAAAACAGACTAAAACCTTGTTTTAGCCCGAAGGGCTGAAGATATCACGATGGATCCTGTTGTTCTTGAAATCGACACGAAAACAGGTGGAATCAGATGATCTTGATGTTCATCCCGTTATTGATATGATAAAAGAAATATGGTCAAGACCCTTAGAAGCTTCGGGTTTGACTCATGGGGTCGTAATCATAAGCATCGCCGGCTTTCACAAACCGCCCTTTCACACGCTTTCTTACATCCGCTCGTGCCTTCCGCGTAGCATACCTCACTCTCTTCTCAAATCTATCATGCCAAAAAGAAGGGTTTAGGGTTTAGGGTTTAGAGTTTAAGATCAAAATCAATATTATCAATTTACATATATGGCTAAGAAGACTAACACGATTGGTTTTATAGAACGCTACATATGTTTAAATGTGAAAGGCATTACAATAAGTTGATATGACGGTTTTGGACATCCAACAATTTTGAAGTAAAACATCCTATTAGTCTTTTATATGACATTCTGAAAAACGTCTTATAAAAACAAGGAGTGTTCATAGGACACTTCTCAAAACTGTACTACAAAAAAATAGCTAATAGTACACTTTATTTCAGAAGTGTCAGGAAAAAACTTGTTAGGATGCCCGAATACGTCCTAACATCTTATTGTAACACCTTTATACATACAGGACGCACAATTGTTTGGTTCCATAAACTTAAGTCTTTCTATAAAGCAGGACATTTAGACATCTTTTGCGTCTTATAAAGCCAACTTTGTTGTAACGGAGTGATTACTAAAGAGACTCACTTGCGCATCTTCTTTTTTTCCTTGTAACGGAGGACAGCATCGCTTCTGCTACCGATAGGCGTGGTGTTTTGATCAGCGCCGCCAGTGCACCATGGCGGCTCTCCCATGAGAAGCATGGAAGAAGCTCCACAGTCTTGATATTCACCGGCACTGCTCTCCCCGGTGAGGCTTGAGAACGAGATATTTGAGTGTTGCCTTGCATAACATGGGTTTGGTTCCGTTTTGCAGCTCATTAACGAATCAGCTGATGCTGCGTTACTGCATGCTGGTTGCACCGCATTTCCGTGTCCGGTTGAAGACTCCTAACGACAATAATATAAGTAAATACGCCAAAAATGACGATTTTAAAGAGAAAAGATTCAAGGGCATTCACAAAAGGGCAATTTTAACTAGTCGATAAGCTAGATAATAATATAAAATGACCTAAGAGGACGTGTCAGAATAATTAAATGGAAAACAAGCCTCATGAGCTTATTGAAACGCTACTTGAGGCCTTTATCCAAAAAATGCACTCGAAGTAGCCTTTCAAAAAGCTAGCTTGTGGCCAACCAAACGGGATTCTGTTAATAAGCTCAAAAAATAAGTTACCAAACACGGCTTAATGATCAAGCCAGAACCAAAGAAGTGGTTAGTAAATAACAAGAACATAGTAATACCTTGGCTGCGTATGGACCCTGGCAATTTGAATCGGCACCACCGAACAAACTGTCGATCCCATCCTTCGCAAAAAGATGTTCGGGATCGTTATGGCCTACGCCAAAGAGTTCTTCATAATTCTCGATGCTCAAGTCAACTTCGTCCATGTTAAAGTCGGCATAGAACCCATCATCAACAAATGGTTCAGGATCTTCTGTCCCTGATTGTGATATCTACATCCAAACAACACAAAAAGACCCCGTTAATATGAAATTGAAACACATTCATGATGATGTTATTGTTAAGATTCTATATTTAGTTTGCCAAATAAATGGCAAACTTATCTATTTTGACAGGTAACCTGTTGATCTTGTAACATTTGATGACGTGGATGTCAAGTTTATCGTGCACTTAGCTAAAACCCTTTCCTAAAAGGGGTATCCACGTCATCATATGTTGCAGGATCAACAAGTTATCGGTCAAAATCTTGATGCATTTAGAGTACGATTAACATAAACCCAATACAACGTACCTTGGATTGAGAAGAATTTATGGGTCCGGCTTGTTGAACCACATTTTGCGGCCTATTATCAACGCGGATAGTTGAAGAACCCGTCCATACATTGGAGTTATTTCCGCTTTCGATACCATTTGCTTCGCGTAAATCTTGATTATTGTTGTTTCTAGAAGGTCCTTGGCTATTATCAGCAATACTCATTGAACCTATTCCTTGCTCACAAGCAGAATCCATAAATGACCAAATAGAAGAAAGTTCTACAGCCGAAGGACAACCCGAATAGCAATTCAACGTTTGCCGACTGTGTGTGGTTGAACCCAAAGACGAACCGTTATGACCAACCCAATCGCAATTCTGACAAAGAGATACTTTTTCCTCGATGCATCTAACCACTGCGGGTTGTGAATTGCACCTATCGCAAACGAGTGTTCTTGAATGGCGTTTCGATAGGGCATTCGCAGAATGGACGATTCGATCACACGACAAACATAAGTAGGCTGCATCCGATCGACAATAGACCATCGACCTCGCCTCCCCGCAGTGATCACATTGACAACCCATTTTTTTCAAGAAAATCCCTTGTCAAGATCAAGATTTTGACCCCCTCCCAGTCCACTATTTGATCCAGAAAACTCCAACCTGCATCAGACAGATGATTAATGAGAAATTTAATCATTAAAGTTGAATTTTTTTGGCCTTTTTGACCACAAGCATACACTTTATTGATTCAGAATATGTTCTACAGTGCCTAAAAGGGTCAATTCAAGAATAATTTATTGAAGGAATTCAACAACAATTGGTTGCTACAGAGATTGAAAAGAACATCTTCTAACATGATTGGAATCTTGATCTATAAAATGTTAATGATGCCAAGGGAATCAAAGCTCCAATTGAAGAGGGTATTTTAGCATCTAAGAACCCTAGCAAAAAAGGGGGAAGAATTTTGAAGACAAAAAAAGTTTGAAGTACAGATATCAGTTACTCTGCACAGTGATTACAGCAAATTGAGCCCCAAATCAGCAAGTACATGTAAAAGTCTGCTGGAAAACTAAAATCTGACAGAAAAGGGAAGTTTTGTAACTGCAAAATAGATATAAATAAACAGTGTGAACTTTACAAAAACATAGTGAAAAAGTCAAATGAAAATGAACAGCACAGATCAAGCTTGAAAGGATCAAATCCAAGATGAAATCATGAGCCAAACCAGAAGATAGATCAACACACAATCAGGGGATACAGAAAAAAAGAGCAGAAATCCACAAGAGGGCTTCAGATTTTTCCAAGAAAACATCAAAATTTCCACCAAATTCAAACCAACGGATCAAACCCACGTGTTATAGATCAAGAAACACCAAACAGATCCAGAAAATCCCATTTTTGTAAAGAGAAAAACAAACAAAACTCAAGAAAGCTTACAAGTGTTTAAACCCAGATAGAGTACATCAAAGCAGAGGTGATTTTGTTGCAGGATTTCAAAAACCCTAATAAAGATCGAACCTTTTAGAAGTTCCTTCTTGTGTGGGTGTGTGTTGTGAGGTAGGCGTTGGTTCTGGATGTTCTTTACTGTTTGTTGGGTAAGATTTCTGACAACACAAATTTCACAAAAGATATCGGCAAAAGTGCAGAGAGAGAGATCTGGGTGGGTTGAGAAGGTGGGGCCTTGTCCTTTTCATGACATTGAAAAATTAGGCCCTCTTACCTAATCTTTGGGTCAATTGCAATTATAGTCCTTGTACAAATGAGAGTAACATGATTTTAGTCCATCATCTTTGAAATCTTGGTCACTTGCTCTCGTTGCATCAACTGCTACAGTTTATTTTCAACTTGCAAAAGAAAATGAAGTTGGGTTTATAAATATTTTACACTCGTTAGAGACAGAAAAGGCCTTACAGATTGTTGATACTAAGTTGTGACACAAGTATATACAATCAATAAGATCAAACATAAATGCAACTGTAGTTATTAAGCAAGTTATTATAAGATAAATGTGTATGGTTGATTTAGAATATTTAAACCTTATTAGGTTGTAGTGGCTATTATGGAAATATAAAAGAACTTTCCTTTGGACTTGTCATTGAGTTCAGATTTTCATGTGTTCTGCTTTTACTCTGTGAATCGCAAGAGTTGACAGATATACAGTAGAGGATCTTTTAAAACTTTTTTTTTTCAAATGAAGGGTATTTGTGGAAATAATCATTCTACTTGCTGAGATTGATGCTAGGACTATCTTAGATCCACAAACCCTACTTTGGACTCCGAATGAGACATAATGTGTATGTTTGATCTTGTTTGATTTATACAACAAACAAAAGGTGCCAAAAGTTTTACATTCTCCAAAATAGGTTTTCGAATGTTGCAGATCACAAATAAGAATGACAAGCAAAACAAACTCTAAAAATTATAACCTGACAAAAAGCACCTGCAGAACATCATTTTATGTTCCTAAAGAATCACATCCAGATCACTAGAAAGCCAGTTTTTTTTACAGTGCTTGTAATATGTTTTTTTTTTCCTTTCCTGGCGACAACAACCACTTTAGATCTAAATAGATATATGTGGAGCAATTCACATGGGTTGAAGAACTACAAAAAGAAACTAGAAGGACCAAAACGTAAATTGGGATATGTTGAAGGACCAGTAATGGTATTAAGATATTTTTGCGAGTGCTGCAAATCTATCTGCTAAATTTTATGATTAAGAATCTTATCCATCCGCTGAATATTTCACCTTTTTAAGAATATTTTAATGAAATAAAAAAGCTTTTCCTTTTGGTGCTTTTTGGACCCACCATCTTGTAAAGTACTCGCTTTTTATATTATTTAATAATTAATAATAATAGTTAAAAATGGGGTCCATTTCTTGTTAATATTAAATCAATTTTATATAAAAAATGAAAAAAATAAACCTTTTTTATTTCTATTTTTGTAAAAAATGAGGTTGGTTAGTTGTCATTTATATTATTTATTTTGTCGTAATTTGAGGTTTTTTCTTCAGGCAAAATTCCAAAAAGTTGGTTGTGACTTGTGAAGTATTTATGACGTTCATTTATTTTTTAAGAATATGGTAATTAAATAGTTTTAATTATATATTTAAATGAAAATTTATTACGCAAATATTTAGGAGTCGCTTGTCAAACACTTACCCGATAAGCGTTTACCAGTAAAATTTAACAATGTTACCGGGTAAGATTTTAATCCACCAAAACGACATCGTATCCAACACTTTACCCGATAAACATTTACCATAATAAGAATCGTAAAACAAAATCTAAATTAAAATCATAAATCAAATCGTAAGGTGGTCCTAAAACACTAAATCAAATCTTAAACGGAAGGAGGATAGATTGAGTGATGAAAAAAACAACCTTGTATTTATGAATATGGAGAGAGGACTAGACTTGATTATTTGTGGATTTGGATCGGACTTTGGCCGGGCTTAATCTATTTTTTTATCCAACGGGTCTAATATGGTAAAACATAACCCGATGGACTTACAAACTTGCTCATACCCGTCTTATAAATGGGCTGGGCTTGCCTACAGGCTAACGGACCTAAAAATCTTGTTATATTTTTATGAAAACAAAATTTATATAAAATCACAAGTTATTTAAAATAATTCAAAATACATAACAACTTAAAATTTGACGTAAATACATAACAATATGCATAGTTTAGAAAGAAATTGTTTCGCTAAATATAAAGAATCGATAAAAAAATAGGAATTGGATATTGAAGTAATTATATTTTCAAATTTAAGATTTCTAAATAATGTTATTATCATGAGTCATAATTAAGTAGGAATTGATAAGTATTAAGAATTTTCAATTTTATTTATAAATTTTAATTATAAAAATTAATTATTATAAAAAAATTAATGAGCGTGGCGGGCCTGTCCAAATATTTTTTTTCACTGCTCATATCCGTGCATTAATTTTAATAAATTAGTCCAGGCTCGTCTATTTCTTCAAGAATGGTAATCCTAACATGCTTTTCTAGCGGGCCGTACAGAACGGGTCTATCGGGTCATACCACCCGTGAACAGCTCTAGTGAGGACGCTACAACTATGAAGGAAAAGAATCGAGAATTTCATATTCATTTTTGCTTTGTAGGTTCACGCATTGAGTAAGATAGTCCTTGGGTTCTCTATGGCTTCAATTCTTTTTTATTAACCTGGATATCTAACCAACTATACGAGCTGACTAATTCCAGAACGACCACCTGCTTTGCAGATAGCCCATAGTCACTGCATTTTGAACCTTCGTGGCCACAAGGGAATTTTTATTCCTCCTTGGATTTGAACCTGAGACCTCCTGGTACTTTTGACATTTGGAGTCAAGTTCAAACCAATCAGACACCACCCTTGTGGTTTCTATGGCTTCAATTCTGAATTCATTGTAGTGTTTAAACAAGTATTTCCTGAAGATACCTAAGAGTATGGGTGTTTATAGGTTAGGTTGATCGGGTTGAAGATATTTAAACAACCCAACCCAATGTTTGCGGTTTGAAAAATTTTAATCCAACCCAACTCAAACCAAAGTGCAACCCAACCCAACCCAAACTGTACGGGTTGGTCGGGTTGACCGCATTGATACTTTGGTACATTAAGATATTCTTCTAGCCTTGAATGTGTTATTTCTCCACTCATAATTTCTTTTTCATCATCAACCATTTGATACAATTTATCCATATTTTTTACATATATCGCATTCAGTTAATTTTCTCAATTTACATATATACGTTCAGAATTACTGAACATATATACGAACGAATTATATAGAGATGTGAATAGATTGAAAATATATGTATATGAAGAGCGTGCGTGATAGTGTAATTTTCTATTATTTATATTAATACAAATTCAACAATCATATTGAATACAAGAAATAAAAGAATATCGGGTTCATCGGGTTGGGTTAGATTTAAATAATAGTAACCCAATACCTACGTTTTGAAAATTTTACAACTCGATTAAACATCAGGTTGCTTCGGGTTGAGTTATTTCCTGTTGGGTCGGGTTGATCGAGTTGGTCGGGTTTTTGAGCACCCCTACTTAAAAGGGAATGAATCAAAACGAAGATTCAAACTTAGGACAATTTTGATGTTAAAACTCACATATGAAATGGATTTGGTTCAAGTTTATTATTGCGAAGTATTGATCAAAAAATAAACGAAAAGGGTAAAAAGACTCGACTACCGCCATATTAGCATAGTTACTGTCAACAAAGTTTATAAAATTCATAATAAATCGAGTATAGAGACCTAGTTATAATTTCCGTTAAATAACAGGAACCAAATCCATAATTTATTTGTGACTTTTTTTGTCAACATCTAACGTATTTTAATTTATATTACATTTAGAAAAATAATCGATACGGGTATTTTCATATATCGTATAATATTGTAACTATATCTGCAATATTGAAAAACAATAAATGTAAATTGCTTTCAAATATCATTATATATATATATATATATATAAAGAAACTTAATTTTTCATGCATCAAGTATCACTTGTTAATACATATTATTTAAAATTCAAGATTACAAGTTGATTAGATATAAGTACAACTTATTAAAGCTTCGTATTTGAATTCGTGTAACTAACTGCAAATAAACATAATAAATAGTAGATAAATACTACGAGATGGAACAATTATTTTTATTTTCTAAAATATTTTAAATTTTAAAACTTTTCATATAACTAACCGATAAACGCAAAAAAAAATCGAGATAAAACACCTCAAGGTTTTTTTTTAATTAAAGTAGATTATCTCGTTAATTTTAAATATAAAATATCTTAAATATAATTATCATTTAAATTAAACAATCTTTCGTCTGTAAGAGAATGTTCTATCAATCATAATTAAACTAAAATAAGATACATTTTTATTTTAAATCTAAATTATAATAAAAATTAAATCAATTAAACTAGGAAATTATAATTTTATATTCTTTAGTTTAAAACCTTTATTAATACATATTTTAAGATAAAATAATAATCAATTCATCTCTAACTTTCTGAAAACCGTAAAATGAAATCGAGAAAGACAGTCAACAAAACAATATATGAATCATGATTGAAGGTTCGGGTTCCAGATTGTAACACCGTTGCATTGTGTGAGTACACTTCTAGTATACACATATATAGACTTAGAATCACGTGAGACCAGTCTGTTTTCGTGAGACCTGTTAGACTACTTTTTTACACTTGATACTTCATTACAAAAAGCTGTGAAGCTAACTTTCATGGTGTTTTTGTTGTGAAGCTAACCTTCACGGTATTTTTGCTGTGAAGGTTCGGCTTTTTTTACCTTCACAACATCTTGTTGTGGAGTTTCAAGTGTAAAAAAATGGCCTTATAGGTCTCACGAAAACAAGCTGGTCTCACGTGAACCCAACTATATATATGTGTATGTGAATTATTAGAATGAGAGAGCACATGTGTAAATAATAATAATATATAATAAGAAAACAGATTGAAATGGAATATAATGGATGTAAATAGACTTGACAACAACGTTAGCTTAGCAAATACATGTGCGACGGTAGGATTGTTGGTAGGAATGGAGCATATATGTCTCGTAACATTATTATTG